CCCACCACTAATTTAGCCAGTCAAACTATTCTAACTGTGGTACATGGTAGCGGTTTTGTTTTGTACAAGCCAACACCCTAGTCTATCATAGTACTCCGTTACACTTCTCCACTAAAGCTATAAAGATAACATGAAAAAAAAGGACAGGGACAAATAGCATTTTTTGTCAATTACTTTACTTAGACTACATAACAACAACAACAACAACAACCCCTCTCTCTCTCTCTCTATCCTCAAAACATGCGCATAAAACAGTCAGAAATCCTTCTTACGTTCTTCGGGAAAGTTGAGGGAGAGTGGGGTGAGGAGGGGGGAAGGGGTTGTGAGGCTGAGTACAACGAAACACACACTAGTGGCCGGAAAGCGGTTTAGGCCCAGGAACGTGAACCCCTAAAAGTTGCTGGGATGACCCTGGCTCGACTCAGCTGTCTTCATGATAAGCCACTCAACGGGCTGTACTACATTTGGCAATGGAAAAACAAAAACAAAAACGTCCGCGCAGCAGATGAATGTGGCGCACGACATGTGTGCAATAACCATTGTCACCCAATCGCATCCATGTTTCCAAGTCTGAGCAAGAGGATTCCATGTCTTTTTGTCCAACGCGCCAGGCATATATTGACCGTAAATATATGTACAAAGTGCCATCCAACGTTCAAAGCTTTCTTGCTCGGCAACCTCAGCTCTGAATTGGAGTCCCACTGCGGCTGACCGCATTGCCAGAGCTGTTGTTTCGAGCAAGAGGCGTTGCGCTCCGACTTCGCTCCCTCTCTCGCTCTCGCTCTTCCGTCTTGACCCGTTCTCGCGCCTCTTCAACAAGCCGCTTCGCTTCTCTCACGTTACGCATCGTTCTGCTGAGCTTGCCCTCCTTACCTTCTTGAAGCTTCTGCAGCTCGCCTCGTGCCTCAATATCTTCCTTGGTCTTGGTAACAAAACTCTTCAGACTGACCTTGATGTTCTGGCGGAGATCTTGGCCTTCGTCAAATATCGCGTCGCTATCACGGATCGACTTGACATTCTCAACGCGTCGGGTAAGGTAGAGAGTTGGACGGCGGTTTGCGTTGTTATGCTGATCACGACGCTGTGCAATGATGCGCTGGACCTCTTCTTCATAAGCGGCTTCGTAGACATTGATATCCACATTAGACGGAGATTCGGAAACTACACATCCTTCTTCAGGCGCCGGCTGAAAGTTCTCGCCGGTTCCAATGTTGAGGAAGAGCGTGTCCTCCAACGGGTTATGTGCCTGTCCTTTACCAATGGGCGTGGTTGGTGAAGATGCCGACGGAATGGTTCCTGTTGGGCTGGAGATGGATTGAATTGGACCAGGTCGGATCGCCAGATTTTCGCGTGAAATCTTGCCCTCTGAAAAGCCCGGAGAGGTTTGCATAGTCGGACTGCTGGTGGCAGTGAGTCTACTGGGGCGCTTTCCTGCTTCTGTACGGAAACCAGGTTTGGAATATGCCATGTCGTCCATATTGTTCGGCACTCTTTGTCCTTTGTCGTCAACCTTGATGGGGTGGTGCACCCCCTCCGCGGAAAGTGCAGCCTCGACTGGCCGCCGGTCATGTGTGTCCTGTGATTTTGATTTGCGCAACGCTGATGGCCGCATAGACAAGGGAGGCTGCACAATGCGCGAGGCACTTCCTAGTATACTTTCTATCCGGTCTGGTCGTCGCCTGAACAATAGTTGCTTGAAGCGCTTTACTGCACGTACCTGTCTGTTGTTAGCTTGGGATAGATGTAAGAATTGCACGGATGCAAAGGGAAGACATGCACCTACCACTGTCACAAGGTGGCCCATGTTGCCGGTAATGGCAGCGTTGACTTCCTCGTCTGTAGGTGGTTCAATAATCACAGCGACATTCTCAGACTTTGCTAATAAAGGGTCCGTTCCGTTTCGTGTGACCCATGGGTGTTCCTGCAGGTGTCAGCTCTGATATCTTAGGATTAAGCATTTCAACTCACCCTGATTTCCTCCATGGTTATCCTCTTCTTTGGATCTTTTTCCAAAAGCCTCATTAGCAAATCTTTGATGTCGTCGCCGCATTCTGTTTCAAACTCCAGTGGGTCCATTCGTATCGATTGGTACAGCTCGATCATGCCGCGTTTTTCAAAGGGTATCCGCCCAAAGAGGAGACAGTATAGAGTGCATCCCATTGACCATATATCCGCAGCTCTTCCTGAGACCTGGCCGTGTTTGGCCACGCACAGTTCCGGTGGCATAAAAGCAGGTGAGCCAGCAGACTTGGCCGTCTTCATCTCGCCTTCTTTGTCGAACATTTCCGAAACACCAAAATCGACAATCTTCAGCACATCCTCTTCGGTGACCAGGCAATTGTCAGGCTTGATGTCTCGATGGATGATGCCCTGGGCATGTACTGGCAGTGGTTAGCGCTAGACGGAAGCACATGGCATACCGGACGTACGGTACTCTAAACCCAATATCATATCTCTGAACCAACACCGACATTGCTCCTCGCTGTAGGGGTCGGCACGCTCTTCGAGGCCGACTTGCATAACAACACCTTTCTTGCACATCTCCATGACCATGTAGAGCGAATCCTCTTCAGGGTCGTCGAGCACTTCGATCAATGTGACGAGGTTCGGATGGTGCAGCTTCTTCATGATGGCAATCTCTTCCTTGATGAGTTCAAAGGCATTGTTTTCTTCGGTTGTCGAATGTCGGTGGAGCGGAGAATTGAAGCCTATGCCGGCTGGCAGCGCGCGCATTCGTTTACTCGCCGCTGGCCGACGGAGGAGGTTGGATTGTGCCCGTTTTCGCAGTCGCGATTTTGAGAACTCCTTGACAGCCTACGCCATGTGTCGTCAGCTACAGTCATTGTGTGTACCGCCCAGGTTACCCGCATCATTATATCAGGCATTGCGCCTCTCCCCCATAGCCAGCGGTGTCTGGAGAGCTGGTATCCTCACATATTCTTGACCATACTGGTCTACAGCGAGGTGAACAGCACCAAATGAGCCGCGGCCAATCTCCTGTTTCACCAAATATTGGTTGATGCGATGTTGGGCGCTGCCGTCATCTTCGCTATTGCTGTATTCGGACCGCGCATTCAGCGTTTCCTGCAGCCCGTTAGGCTCTACACATGACAAGATTTATTGATTGGCTTCTCGGGGTGAATGCTGGCAGCCATTGGAGTGCAGAAGCTGGTGCCAAGTTCAGGTAGCTTCGCCAGCGCCTGCATCAGGCCTATGATGTGATGGAGGGCCGATTGGACAGGCGCTGGATGGTGCACTCGAGCGGGACTCAGCTGGGGGGAGGGAATCGCACCTTTACACGTCTGGTGGATGAGGCTGCGCGCGTGTGGTGTCGTAGCGGGCTCTGGTATGCGGGTGTTGACCTTGACAGCATCAGCATCTTGGTGGGGTAATGGGTAGTGAAGGCAGCCCAGCAGGCAGCAACACACACATGTACTTGACTGGCGGAGGTCGACCGGCGTCGCTGAGGGCGGGAACGGCGAGGGCAGGCTGTGAAGTGTAGAGCTTGAGGTCAGGTTCGGATGGGCGTTTGCTCAGCGGGTCGGGCGAATGGGACATGACTACACAGGGCGAGGGCCAGCCAGGGGGGAAAGATTATGGCATCCAAGTGCAGTAGCAGTAGTACGGAGAGTTAAGATTGAAACTGGGGGCGGGCTAGCAGATAGCAGGTTGCAGGTCGCAGGAGAAATAATATGGGGAAACCCGGGACGGCCAGCCCGCAGCAGAGAGGGGCCCTTTCTCTCGCTGTGCACTTCTTTCAGCCTCATCAGCCCGTCGTCGAGCAATCAATCACCACCCTCGTCCCCACGCCCACTATTGCCATTAGGCCAGGCCCACCCGCCCGCTTCCCTTGGCGGCATCCTCCCCGACTCGCTCCATCGCGCCTTTGACATATCCGTCTTGATTGTCAGCTATCGTGTCTGATTGTCCAGAACCCATTGGCGCCGGCTGCACCCCCCCGAATCGTCGCTTCGATAGTACATCGACAACACCACAACCCCAACCCCGCATCCCTCCCAAGTCCACCCTCACCTGCTGCAGCCTGACGCCGTCTTGTCTCTCCTTGTTCCCGATCGCAATGGTCCTCTATAGCTTCTACATCTTCGATCGGCACAGTAAGTCGCTATCGTTGTCCGGCGATCGGAGCCCATGACAAGCCCGCCGTGCACGCTGCTGACCGCACAATTGCAGCCGAGTGCATCTACTCGCGCCGCTGGACTCCTGCACGCCCAACCTCGTCCTCGTCCAAACCCACTACCGCTGCCGCCGCCGCCGCCCGCCCGACCTCTGGCAACTCGATTGTAAGCAATGGCGACGTCGTGGCTGCCGTCCGCAAGGGCATGTCGCACTCGGACGACGAGAAGCTAGTCTTTGGCCTCGTCTTCTCCCTCCGCAATTTTGTCACCAAGCTCGGCGGCGCCGACGATACCTTTCTCTCGTACCGCACCGGCGAATACAAGCTCCACTACTACGAGACACCCACGCGCATGAAGTTTGTCATGCTCACCGACACAAAGGTCATCAACCTGCGCCAGTACCTGCACCAGATCTGGGCCAACCTCTATGTTGAGTATGTCGTCAAGAACCCGTTAGCCCCCGTCGAGCATCCCGGGGGCATTGGAGTTGCCAATGAGTTATTTGAGCGGGGCTTGGAGGCCTTTATCACCGCCGTCTTGCCTGTGTGAGGACACCTAGGACACAGCAAGAGCCACACGAGATAGAATAGCGTCAGTCTTGTAAATGAGACAATACGTGTACGGAGGATGCCGTAGTGCCGATCCAACATTGTGTGGCGCAGGACTCGATTTTCCGAAGAACGGAGATGTTCCAGGAGACCGGATCATCGTCGCCTTATCATGACCATCCACGAAGCTGTAGGGACTTGACCTGCAAATCAACATGCAGACGACAAGACAAGCTTCAGAAGGTGGTCGGGAGCGGCCGAACGCATATGCACCCCAGCCGATGCCCCACATGCACAGCCTCACTTGACCTGAGTCCCGGGACGCCGTTCCCCAACGCTGCCTGCAACATGCATGGGATGTGGGCATGATGTGTTGAGTGTCAAAATAGCATAGTTTCATAGCAAGAATTCGAAGTTGAGATGTCACACGTGCCATCTTGTATCACGATTTACTCTCCATCTCTAAAGGATCTTCTCGACACTACATCCGTGCCACTATCCCTTTATTTCAGATTTTAACCCAATGTCTCCTAAAGCCTGTGAACGTAATCGCCTCTTTGGTGCAAAATACTAGACATGATTACTTATGACCGGGCTCGGGACGCTACCCTGCGACCGCTGCTGTCAAGTATTATCAATTCTGTCCTCACCTCTTGCTGTGGAGTCGCTTCACATTATCTTCTCCCATGACGGCTTAGCTTTTTTTTTCTCTGTTTGCTATATAGCGTAGCAGATCAATTATCTCAGAAAAGAATGGCAGGCCACGTCTTCTCCCATATATTGTGATCTCCTGATCTCATCGCAACCGTGGTTCGCCGTCCTGAGGCGTCTGGGACATTCGGGATCATGCCGATCCACTATCCACAGCTGCTGAGCTTTGTCCCCAAGCTTATCCAGATCTATGGAACCCATGAGGGCCACTTCTTTTCTCATCATCTTCATGGCGAGAGGCCATGGATGTGTCTGGATTCCCTCGTCCACCAATGGTGACACCACCCAACCCCACCTACTTCCCTTGTCGGTAATCAAGACACTGACGTGTATCACAGCACCAAGAAGCCTTCTAATGTCCATATTGGCGTGACTTCACAAGGGCTCCAGGCCAAGAATATCATATCTGATTCTCAGCAATACAAGAACAACGTGGGCATCAAAATCAACGCGAACCTTGGTGGTGCCACCTATATCGCAAAATCTCAGGTCGTTCCTAAGATCGCACCTCGGGCCAGTGAGATGTACCACAATGGGTTTCGACAACAGATATGCCTGCAGATGGCTTCACGAAACCACTCTCAACAGAAAAACACTCATAGTTAGTGGGATATCTAGGCGCTGTTTAATACCACATTGTAGATTGACCTGGATGAAGATGAAATTCATAAGCCGTGGTAGATGCCAGACCTTATCCGAAACATAATAACATCCAAAGAGTGTGTTGACAACATAGACAAATAACAAAATAATACTCTTCACAACTATTCCTCGCGTTTTAAGAAGTGCGATATAATAGCATTGTAGCAGTTCTATGAAGCCCAGAGTTTGCTGACTTTAATTGAGTGGCGACCTATGTGAAGTACCCATGATTTTTTCCACTAGGTGCGCAGGTGCCGTGCACACTAGTGCCGTTGGTGCACAGAATATTGCTTGTAGAGTCCAAAGAGAACACGTATAGCCCTGATATAGCACCTACCTGAATGATGGATGAGACAATTGCAACCGTCTTTTCATTCGAACAGTGGAACTACCACGGACGCAACATTGCTGCAGGCACTTGAGTCAAGTGTGGTCTTCATGGAGCCTCTCGCGCCATTAGATTTCTTCGCCCAGGGAGTGAATCCAATCTATGTGAGAAGATCGTTTTCTACTATGGTTATCTTGGAATTTGTAGTTTCCAAGGCCTGCTTCTTTTGGTGCACTTAAAAAACGCAAGGCAATGCAAAGTGTTGTGAGCCGGATGTGGTAAACAACTGCCAAGCTTCATCCACCAGTTCTCATTCTCAGGAACGACTTTCTCAGTAATCTCTGAGAACTCTGTATGAAATTCACATACCACATACAGCAATGTGCCAAACAAAGCCTCCGAGTATAATGATCGAAAGGTCACTCTTCTGAGTGAGCTTCAATGTGTATTCTATGTTCAGCCAGTCCGCATTTCATGTCAACATCAGTGAACCATTACCAGGCAACCTCCACAAGGCTTGACTTGCCTGCTTCATTGAATAGTCGTGCAGGCTGCGTTCTTCGTCATTCCTTTTCGTGCGTCTTGTCCTTATCTGCATACCTATCTTTCCTGTATCCCTTGTCCGCCTCGACCACTGTCGCCTTGCTCCAGGCCAGTTGTGAGGATGCACGTGCCGCTCCTTGACAAATCGATTTCTCTACTTGCGTTTGCAGAGCTCTCGCGGCCTTGGAGTCACGAGCTTTTTTGGCGCTAGTGCACGTGACGTTACCTGTCGGGTCTCAGTATAAAACCTGGCCCCCCTCCCCCCTCTCCTCCTTTTCCTTCTTCAGGTTCCAACATCATGGCACGCGGTAAGTGCATTCCTTTCCTGCTTCTCTCGTCTGTTTTTCCATGTCACTGCGCTTGTTGCTTCTTCTTATCATGTCACTGTTGCGGTCTCACCTACACCTCACACAATCAACACAATCCCTGTCCATCACATACTTCTACAGATTCCCTCTTGACCTATTCCATCACTGCTAACCACTGCCTCATGCTGAATCTCCAATTTTCATTCACAGTTTCGTTACTAACGTTTATTATAGTACAACACAATTACTACGTCAACGTTGGCGGCGGCGGCGGTGGTGGCCGCGGTGTCGTAAGTACCCTTTTTGAATTGATCCTTCGTTTGTGAACAGGAAAGCTAATATTTTTACGCGTAGAAGAAAAACAACAACAACAACAACAAGAAGAAGGGCGGTGGTGGCGGTGGTGGCGGTGGTGGAGGTGGTGATGGTGGCGGTGGTGGGCGTAAGGCCCGTAAGCAAGACCAGTGCTTTCTGTAAGTTCACCGTCTACCGCCTGTTATGCATATTCATGGTTACTAACTATGTGAATCTAGCTGTCGTGCCTATGGGCACAAAAAAAAAGATTGTCCGCAGCTCGCTGCTGTTGTTGCTGCTGCTGTTGAGGCTGCTACTACCGCCGCCCAGCAGACCCGCCCAGCAGATCCGCCCAGCGACCCCGTCCCGGTCGCATGCGAATACGGGCTTGCATGCCCAGCATTTGGTCCGTGCCGTGCTGGGCAGCAATGCACAGCACAGAAGCAGTGTCCCCAAGGGGACAACTGTACTTGGAGTGAGAACTGCCTTGCAGGTGACCAGTGCCCTTCGCGGTGCCCTGCTGGCAACTTGTGCCCTGCCAACTGTCCGGCGGGCGTCAAGTGCCCTGGGATTCCCCAGGTCCTGTCGCTGCGTGGTGGCCGCCCCCTAGGGGGTGAGCCGATGGAAGGTCAGGAGTGAGTTTTCTTTCGGGGGGGATTCAAAAGTCAATTTTTTAGTTTCATGAATGCAAGTCCTCTGCTGGTTTCCAACTTATGTTTTATATAAATATTTTTGTGAGACTGCGTGTGAAGTGTGTACCTTTGCAATTTTCAGTCAGGAACACTGAACTGACGTAATAAAACCGATAGCAAGATCCAAATAGTCAACAACTCCAGGTTCGATGAGATTCATCGCTCCATCCTATGCTCAGCCTCTATGAGAGATCACGCAAAGACAATCGGTCGCTTGTCGCTGTTCGTTCGAGCATTTATGAGAAATCATGATGTTTGTATTCGCGATAGATGGTAGAAATGGTCCAATTAGGGGCAGTCCAACATTCATCTATTCATTAGTGAAGTCTATAGGAGATCGCAGCTTGTTTCATTGAGGGCTACTTGAAATAACGTAGAACTATTTCATTAGCAACCAACAGGGCAAGCAAAAGCCCCGTTTTCATATTGCTACCAAAGATGCAAACGCAGGCAGTAGTGCAACTGATCTCTTCAATGGGGTTGTGGCACTGTATACTTTCCGCCTACTCACTTATACGCCAGGCTGACCAAACCACAAAAAGCGCGACCACTTCAACAAGGCGGAAGCTGATAATGGCAATGGGCGCAGGAACAGTCTACCGGGATCTGTGGCACTTGATGCACCGTATTAAGTTGATTTGCAAAGCGAGGTCATTGCCCTACAAATGAGCTCCACGCTATCACCAGAAAAGACACGCTTTTGCTTGACCAGCCCAATGCGCATAAGCTCGATCAGTCATGTTCCGTTAACACTGCATATTTCTCAGGTGAAGAATTTCTATTAAACTCTCATACGAGTCATATACAGAATGAGTACCCGACATTGTTGTTAGCTGCGGTATACGTGCTCGTCAAATGCCCACAAATTAGCCCCTGACAGGATGACTAAGATGTTCTCACGATCATCGCATAGTCAACCGGAAACAGCTGGACTGCAGCCGACTACAGTGGCTATTTGATTCAATTCAATTGTGTTCAATTTCAATACCACATTTTGTCCCATTGTCGTGGTTATCAGAGTGTTGCGACCGCCAAGGTCTGTCACGGACGCTCTTGCCATTTGTTGACACTCACCTCCACTCCCAGCCGACACTCAGGTTTCGCCCCACCACATCTATTCCACGGCCTTCTAATCGCTGCAATGATCAATTCTGAGAATGATCTCACCGAAAGCTACGTAGATTATTACTATGTGGATGTGTTTGACCCTGGTTGCAGTACTTGTGGGGAGATCGCTGTGATTAGAACCTCATCGTGAAGAACTACACAATCCTACAAACTTCCCCTTGCGTATACTCAATTGATGAAAGGGCTCAATACTGCATCACAGTGTTTCTTGCATTTCAATGTTCGTGTTCCTGACTGTTGTGCACTGCAAAATTGGTGATTACGTACCTGAATGCAAACATGCTCGGGAGGGAAGGCACGACTGTTGACGGAGGAAGGTGGCGCATCTCACCAATACTGAAAATCTGCTCGCGTGAAGTACACTGCTCTCTAGACCTAATCATTTCGTGCCTGATATACGCAAATTTCTGCTGTTTCGCTCACCAAATCTACGCTTTCGTTTTCTTCGACTCCAGACGAAAACAGATTCAAAATGCCTTCCTCTTCCGCAGCCGGCCCCTCGAAGCGCAAGGCAGTTTCGGCTCCAGTAGCCGTCCGTTCATCCAAGAGGATCCAACTCTTGAATGAGCAGAGGGCGAGGGAGAACGATGCCGAGCTTCCGTACACGGGAAAAGGCAAAGGCAAGGCAAGGCAAGTCATCATCAGTGACGATGATGAGAGTGAGTACTTTGATGAAGATTTAGGCACTGATGTAGGCGAATGTGCCGTCGAAGACGAGGCCGATGAAGACGGCGATTACGAGAGAGTCATCCCAGACTCTGAGGACGACGACGATGATGATGATGATGAGGCGGAAGAAGAATGTGCCTTCCGCACCAAGCGAGATTGGGTTTTAGACCCCGACTACAACCCAATTGGAAGCGAAGAACTCCTTAGTGACGAGGAGATTGAGGAGATCGGGGACCAAGAGTTACTCGATGATGAGGAGACTGAGGGGATACCAGCGGTAACCGGAGAGGTAGGTTGTGGACTTGACGTTTCTTCTCCCGAGAATACTAACAAAACGATTTTAGGGCCCAAGCCAAGGGGTCTATATTCCACCAAGATTCCGCTTCGTCTCCGACAAAAGGTGCGGCATCACAAGCCCAGTACGGTCGGCCACTGCTAGCGACCGTAAACGATTCGAGGCGTTCGACAACAAGATTCGCCTCGTAGTTTCACGATTGAAGATGCTCACGCAAAAGCATTCAATGTTCACCGGGGTATTGCTTGGCGACAAAGAATATGATACAATGACGTGCGGGTTCGCCAAGTTGTTGGAACAATCTGACAAGGACTTCCTTGTCGAGTCGTTCTTGAACGGTGTGCCAGAATCAACAAAGAGGATTCTTGGCCAAGAACAGTTCGGGCTCCACGAGCTCAAATCTCTTCCACGACTTTCAGACTCGGAATTGTCTGAAAAAGGTATCTACATTGACATCGTCGAAATGGACGGCGAATTCAAATGGGATCTGTATGTGGGTTCCGCTGTTGCTGAAGTTGGCATGCTGCAGCGCTGGTATGGCTACCTCACAGGCGTACCAGAGACGTCTTATCACGGCAAGAAAATTGCAAAGCCTGGCAACAAGATCAATTTGCGTTGCCTAGCGCATTTTGGTCACGATCCAGAGGTTTGGCTCACATCTTTTGCTGAGAGCCTCTTCATGTTGTATCTCGGCACCGTTTATGATCCTAGGAAGCACTGGAATAACCCCGATTATTCCAGCATGTTTATCAACGACGAGATTTACAACGCGGTCAGCGAAATCCGGAAGGAATGCGGCCTCGTGACCCTTGAGGCACGAGGAATGAACAGAACCTGGTCTCTTATCCAGGGGTGGAGAGGCGTCGCCATCAAGTCGGGCGCCCAATGTCATGATTGTGGACGCATTGTCCCTGATAGACGCGACGAATCATTTAAGCGGACAGAATGGACGCACATCGATCCTGCCCGTCCATCATCGACCCACGTTACATGCTTGAATTGTGTGTATTACAAGCGTATATATGGCAAGGCCCGCACGCCAGCTCATGAGGCAAGACGGGCGGCAGTGGCGGCCATAAAGAAACACCCAAACCCTGGCAAATGCGAATACAAGGGCTGCACAAAGAAGGCCAGGAGCTGGGTTGATCAAGAGGGGCACCAGAAATGGTATTGTAGCGGACACTGGACTCGTGCGACGAACGGTAAACCAATGGATGCTCCTTTCATCAAGAATCAAACCACGAAGCCTCCGAGAGCTACTTATGCAAACCCCGGTCAATGCGAGTATCCTGGTTGCGAATCAAAGAAGACAGTGCATTGGTGCTCCTTGGAAGGGCATAAAAGGTATTACTGCGCTACGCATACCTCTCGTGCGCATAATGGGAAGCCGATGGATGCGGCCATCGTACAAAGGAAGAGAGGCCCTAGTGCCACTTACAAAAACCCAGGCAGGTGCGAGTACCCCGGTTGCACCATAACGAAGTCTATCAAATGGCGTGGAATGGCAGGCCACCTGAAGTTTTATTGTAAGGCTCACGTTTCGCGTGCGCTGAACGGGAAACCAGCAATGGATGCTCCTGTCGTCGAACGGAAAAGAAAGTCCAAGTAAACGCATCACAAAATGCGATGATTATTGGGGAAAGATATAGGCGGCGAGTTATATGGGTACCACGACGTGTTGTCGGCGCATGATGAGTTGTCTGCGTGTTGCATGATGAGTTGTCTGCATAGCAAGGTGTGTTGCCTGCATAGCAAGGTGTGTTGCCTGCATAGCATGATGAGTTGTCTGCATAGCAAGGACGGCGACCACAGTACCCATAGTGAGTCGGAGGCCGTCCTTGGAGTTGCGCACACCTACATCGACCTTGGTGGCTGATGTAGGTGTGTGGAAGCCTATGCATGTAAGTATCCCCACAATCCCAAAGTCTTTTACAATTACTAACATCCCTACAACTTCCTTAGGTAACCCCTGCTGCGTCTGCCATGTGCAGGCGTACAGCATCGCAACATACCTTCTTGCAGGACGGTCCTGTCATGCATCGATGAGAGGCCTAAAGAAGCGATACCCATAGATGTCTCGGACGGGCAATGGAGTTATGGATCGAAGTCGATCCAGTATAAATCGATATGATCAGCGAAGTGCATTAGCTTGTGGAATAGTCGGCCGGCTAGTTCAACTTCAACTCTGAGAGCGTAATTGTGTGGTGTTGTGTTCAATATACATATATCATCGAGTGTTGCTGTGCCATGGTTGGAGTCAGCTTGGGCCATGTGAGGTGGAGTCTTGCAGCAGCCACAACACTGGGCTGAGGTGGATCTTGATGGGTGGTGGAATGACTTCAAAAGATTTTAGATAGCTGTAGCTGCTCCTCATTCCTGAGCTACTCTGACTTCTATACCAAAGTTTTCGTATGTCAGAACACACTGTATGTCACTGAATAAATGAAAGTTTTTAGAAGAGCCTATCACTAAGTCCCTCACAGAAGTCAAGGCGGTATATTAGATGCATATGTACGCAACTAGTTGACGCTTATGGATACATAGTATACGGTCTGAGAAGAGTGCAGCTTTGTCTGCCTATTTCCTGGCCACCTGCTATCCTGGCTGTCCGGGATTTCTACTGCTGCGACTGCTTTGGCTTCACCTACCGACTGCTTTTGTGGCAAGCTGTAGGGACTGGTAGAACCAGCAAGCGACTATATTTAAGTAAGACTCTATGCGGGGCGGGTAGGAGGCGGGTTGACTCGCGGGTGAGGAACGAGTTTGTAACAAAACACGGTATCAAATGCATGTTTCAATCGAAGATTCGACCGTTTCCATTAGCATTAATCTGGTAATGACTAGATACTTAATCTAAATAAATTTAGTCCTTCCAGAATTTTCCTTTGCCCTTCTTACGGCCCTTGACGTCAGCTTGTTTTACGACGAAAACGCCACGGTCGATTGTGTTGATAACAACAAAACCAGAATCAAACGTATATGCTGACCAAGTACCGGCATCCCACAGCGCATCGCCGCCTCCAGGCTTGGCATCGTCTCCAGGATACACATCAAAGTACGCAATCTCTTTAATCTTCGAACCATCTGGATACTTTGGAATTGATGAAACGTCAAGGATCCTCAGGCCGGCTTGGTAGTTCGATTGATAAGATAGGCCATCGTACACGTATTGGTTGTGATCAACCGATCGAACGCTTGTTTTATACAAGCCACTCACGAACGGTTTCTCGAGATTCTGGATGTCTAGCAGGTATGTTACCGCAAATCCGTCTCGCGCAGGTGAGTCCACGGCAGTACGGTTGGGGTCAATTTGGCCTTCATCCAATTCATCATCGAGGACGAGATGTGTTTGCCAGTAGGGATCGATGACCCATCCTTGATGGGTGTATGAAGCACCGACATATGGAGTACGGGAAATCATCTTTCCGGCGGTGCCAAAGCCCTTTTTGTTGGTCGCATCAATGATTGTAAGGGTATCTTCTGCGAAGAGGAAGCAAATGTCCCGTCCATAATAACGACGATCAGGACCTCTGTAAACGATACATTGGGCGTCGTGAACATAGCCGTCAGACGAGCTGTTTAGAGTTAGCCTTTGTGGGCGTGGAGGGTGAATGTGTGGTTTTGACTTACAAACATCCCTCAACATAGGGCTTAGTTGGATCATCCATGTTGATAAACATGGGGCCACCAGCACAGGTATCGTTACGGCCTGGTCGACCGCCGGCTCCGCAGGCAACGGCGTAGTTCTTCTCCTCGTTGGCAACGACAGTGTGGGTACGGCCCTTGATACCCTGGTTGATGTCGACAAGGGCAACATCCTTGACCTTGTCGAAAGTATAAGGGCTCTTAGGAGAAAGCTTAAGAAGCTTCTTCAGGTCAAAGATCTGGACGTGGTGGCCGATACCCTCGGATCCAACAATAAGAGAGTCACCGAGGACTTTAATCTCACGCCAGATGACGGAGTCATTCTGGGCGGGAAGACGACCAAGGTACTCAAGTTTGCCCTCCCTGGTAACCTCAGAGAAGGAGGCACCGTAGGTTTGGCCGATGGCAATCTGTACAATAGTTAGTACTGGTGTGTAGTGGTATGTCACGTGGTTCGATATCACGTAATATTCAGCCTCATAGCGCTGCCCATGAGGACAACACCGAACGACATTCGAAAGAGGAAAACATGAAACTCTTCCAACTCGAATACAAGAGACATGGATTTGGACTTGGGTAAACTTACAAACTCACGGCCACGGTGTGTCCATCCCCAGGATCCAGAGCCGTCTCCAATGGGATCACCGAGCTCAGCGTGCGTCTTGAAGTCGTACAAGTCAATGTTGTTGCACCTGTACGTCTGGTCTGGGTCGTCCTTGACAGCCTCAACGCGACCAAGCTTGCACTTGATAACGCTCTTGTCGGTCCTCTTTTTCTCAAAGCCGTTCCACCTGGCGCTGTCGAACTTGCCAGCAGCACGTTGCTTGGCCCATGCAGCCTGAATACGTTAGTATCTCCATGCAATGGATGGAATCTCTTGAGCCTACCTCCTTGCCGCTCATCATCAGCTCCATGACCTCTCCCGAGGCATATTCCTGACGAGTAAAGCCGCTGGCCGAGGCCAATGGCAACAAAGCCGTGGTGATAGTAGCCCACTTCATGGTGACGAAGACGACTGCGGATTGACTTGGGCAGTTGGGTGTGGGCCTCAAATTGGGAGCACAAGCATAGTCATTATATATCTTCCCCCTCTCCGTACTACACCACCGGAAGCACCGACTAAGTCATGGTGGTCTTCCGCCCTCGGTCGCGGCCACTGTACAGACCTTCCTATCACAGCTACAACCGACGAGTAGAATGATCCAAGACGCGCGCAGAAGCAACAATACTGGGCGCAGCATGCAACAGTATGCAAGCCAAGTCTGTCAGGTCTTGGGAATACGGTTAAGGGTAGGGTTCCCATATCAACTCCCCTGTGCCAAGCATGAGGCGGTTCTTGGCCAGTATTTCACCCGGAGATCCGCATGGCAGCGCATGGTATGCGTCCTGCAAACAACGACAACCAGGTCTCTGGTAGAATTCAGACAAAAGCAGTGGTAGTAGAATAATTACAAGAATGGTAAAGTATTGCTGTTACTGCTACCGCTACTACTACTGCCACCTCTACCGGAAACTGGAGGTATCGTCTTGATTTCTTTGTTCAAGTACGCAGATCGCGCTGGTCAACAAGGCGGCGGGGCCATGGACACGTGAAGGTTCGGTGCTAATCTTCTTCCCCGAATCTCCAGATAGCGTGGTCGGATTAGGCAGCTGCTCTTGCTGCCAAGCTGTTGTGGAATTACACGACCAAAGAAATCCAAGCACCCTGCCATCGGCCATTAGCGTCTACAAAGGGCCTGAAAAGACGAGGCCCATTACCAGCCGACGGGAGCCATTAGCCGAAGTCGTTCTTTGCGAGCACCTTCCTGTAGGAGCGTGTTGTGGCAAACATGTCAGCACTGGTCCAAGTGCACTGGCAGTGGGCAAAGGCAAAAGCGCTGACGCCATGCCGTAGCCTGATGGCCTTATCGCATAGGTAGGCAGGTCGTTACATTCATCACATCTATACCCGGCTTGGCGTAAAAGTGCGATACGGTTGGGATAGAGAGGCCGAGGTGAGGCGAATTTGTGGGAGCCGTGGACGAGCAAAAGCGCAATGGTGCCGTAAGAAAACAGCGGGAGAAACGAGCGTCTTTGTAGGTGCCTCACTGGATCCAGAGAGTATCGTTAATGGTCAATCGAGCGCATAGTGGGCTGCGTTTGAGCAGAATTGAGGCCGTTCTAGTAATGGAGCTGCGTTGTCCAAGCTGATTGGCCTGCGCGAACAAGGTGCATACTGCGTGTTCTTGCTAGTACTGGATAGTACCAAGCGCAAACCACGGCCACGGTACTATACCTGGGGGATGAGCGGGTTTGGTCTTAACCAAGGCGATCGAGAGTGATCTTTCAAAGCTTGAAGAGCTTGTTGCTGCCGGGGGTTATGAACGTCTGTTTTGGAGTATGACATTGCAGTGGTGGTGAGATGGGACGAAAGACTGCGGGCGGGCAAACCTCGGCTAGCTTCCCGTACCCTTGCACATCCTCCTCTCACCACCAACGTCCCGCTCCCGTAACCACCAATCAACTCTAGCCCGGCCATGAAGCTCACCGAAGACGACCTCTATCGCAACTCGACACAGTATCGAAACTGGTCCTTTACTCGCGCACAACTTGCCGAACAACGTCTAAGGATCAACCTTCAGGCCACTGAGCGCGTCAAGGCGAACCTTGCGCGAGTGCGAGCACAGCGCGCTCAGGTTGCTGTAGACAGTGATGCTGCGCCACCTGGCGCGGACAAGGAGAATGCGAGCGGGGCAAATACTCCCAATTCAGGAATGCAGACGACGACTGAGGTCAATTGTCTGACTGCCGAAGAGGAACTCACCGTGGTCAATGAGTTTTGCGAACGCGCCATCGCGCTCGGAAACCATTACAGCTTTCCATTGAACGTAGTTGTACGCCGCTGCCTGGCAATATCATAATGCGGACACCAACTGATAAAATTCCCAGGCAACATGTATTCAATTCATGCGTCGCTTCTATCTCTACAACTCGCCCATGACCTACCACGTCAACACCATCCTGCGTACCATAATGTTCATGGCCACCAAGATTGAGCTCTTCAACATCCACGTCTCACAGTACGCAGAAGGCGCCGGGCGCAATGTGACCACCGAAGACGTTCTCGCACCCGAATACATCATCATGCAAGGATTGCGGTACAACCTCGACGTACGCCACCCTTTCCGCGCACTCAAGGCTGGCCACATGGAACTGCTAGAGATGGTGCACGGAAAGTACCAGGGACCCGTCCAGGATATGACACCAAAGGAAGTGCAGAACAAGATACTCTCATTGCCCGCCAAGACCGGTGGTACAGCCATCAAGATGCCAGAGAAGAAAGTTGAAGAGCGAATCCACGCAGCATACGGCACCGCAACAAACACACTCCGTACTATTGCCGTACTCACAGATGCATACTTCCTCTACACCCCATCGCAAATTTGGCTCTCAGCCCACCTCCTCGCAGACGAGCCCCTCACCCTATTCTACCTCTCTACCAAACTACCCCAATCACATCCCCACCACGCCAAACTCCTGTCTACTCTGCGTGCATGTGCTTCCCTCATCTCCAGCCACCGCCTATACGTCAACGCCACGCTCCCCGCCGCTGAGCGCGACGCTCGGGAAGCAAAACACAAAGCCGAAGTCAAAGCCCTTGTGCAAAAGTTGAAAAACTGTCGGGACCCAGACAAGGTCGATCTAGTAAAGTTGAATCAGGCGCAGAAGAGAGATGCAGTCCAGGGCGATGCGCTAGAGGAGAGCAAAGCAAAGAGGAGAAAGCTTGCGAGAGAAGGATACGAAAAAGAGTCTGATGCGTTTTGGGGGCCTGAGTTGGTTAAGTCGGACAAAATGGAGAAGAATTAAAGTTTTGGGTTTTTTCTCACGGTATATGGTTTGAGTGTAATATCAGGATGGCGTTTTACAGGGAACCAAGGGTTTAATAACGATACCATGAAGCGAGTCTGATTTTCAAGAGTACAACTGCGTTAATTAGATTAAGATGCGTAGAAATAAAAGGGTTTCTCTTGTATTTCTGTTCAAATATGAGATTTAATGGGACCTAGGGATCTGCTCGTTATGTAATAGTGAAGCAGAACTGAAGATTCTGAGTGAAAACGACATATTGCCCGATTGGGCAAGTTTTGAGATGCAAGTGTGAATTCCTCTAGAAATTGTAATTTGCAGTAATTTGCCCTTGCACTCTGCAAATTGCAGCAGCTTGCAACCATTGAACCTATGTTCTTTCGTTTGACTGCAACTACCCAATTAGGCAATCCTAGAAAGTGGTGTAGATTACTGTACAGAAACGAAAATAAGCAAAATGCAGCAATCTTCATGCTGCATCTAGTATCAGTTCGACGGAAGAGGAATTGCCCAAATAGGCAAGTTTGGCATGAGGGGTAGATGACAGCAAAAGAAAAGACGTCGTGTTCGTTTTGTGTCTGCGTTTTCCAGCTGCGTTTCGGCCATTTTGGGTTTAGCGTCCAGCTTACCCAGACGGAGACAGAAAACGCAGGGCTGTTTGGTTGCAGGTCTCCGTTTTGTCCCAACATCTTAATCACGGGATTTATCCGACTCTATCCTTGAAGAAGAATTCGTAAATTCGGCTGTATTTTCACAAAAATTACAGAAGTTGTAACATCCAGCAGTTCTTTGGAGAACGATCCACGAAAATTCTCAATTTTCCAGACAACGACGCCCGTTCAGAACCCTCCGTTTCCAAAACGGAGCCCAATCCAATTAGCAAAACGCGCAATCGAACAGGCCCTGAAACTGAAAAAAAACGCAGGCCAACCGAATAATCGCCTCAAAGCCTGCCAAAACGGAGGACCTTATTTACATTTGGTTTCGGTCTAGCTCTCTCTGTCCCCGCTAAGCCCCGTTTAGGCGAGTGACGTAGTTTGGGACCACGGCGCTGGACACTCCCGGTTGCGAAATCAGACGAGACCCTGTTTTTCCCTCTGAACCCAACCTATCGGTGCTTATTTACGAGTGAGGCATGAAAAAAAAGGGGAGTCAGTTCCAAGTCGCGAGAGTAGAAACGGGCGCTCAAGGGCGTAGAAGAAAACAGCAAAAGTGCTCGTTGCCTTCTTATCTACCATCTTCTGCACGTTCTGCGTGACTCTATCATTACTCGCAAGTACATGTTATAAGAGTGGTACTGTATATAGACTTCACACACTTCCAAATCCCCAACTCCCTACTTTCTCACCTCAACTAATCTACCCACTACACCCCCCCCCCCCTCGCCTCCCCCCGTATCGCCCTGCTCCAACCCGTCTTATCGGTACCGGACAAATAAAAAGATACCCTCTCCACCACCACCCCAAACGCAGCCAATCACCTCTGCATGCGAAATCCAAACTGCCACACTCGGTAAGAAGTCAGCTTGAGGCATTGATTATAGTGGGTTTCCGCTCGTTCCCCGATGGACCCCTCGTTGCTCCTCCTTTCCTCCTTCTTCGTCGTTTAACGTCTGGACTCTGGGGCGCGCGGGACAAGGGATGTTCCCTGTTTTTTTTTGCGAGAGGGAGGGAGGGAGGGGCTTTTCGCCTCTTTTGGGTCTCCCCCACAACCATCATCACGATCTCTCCGCCCTTGGTACATGAGGGATTAAATCACGCCACTTACAGTCACGACATGGTCTCGAGATGTTTACAATGTACAAAGATGAGCTTTTGGATTTCTAATATACCTGATTTTGCGCCACACATTGAGCCAGATAGTCGTCGAGAAAAAAAAGACATGTTTTACCACCGTCCTCCCAAACGCCAGCCATGCAATCATAAAGTGAGCTTCCTCATTGCGATATGAGAGCTTAATCCACATACTCCGACCTGACCTTCTTCGCTCTCCTCTTGTTCGCCTTGAAATGCTTCCTGCTGTTCATCTTCATCTCTGCTGGATCAACATCCTGCTCCAGCGCTGCCATCATCTTGGCTTTCCTGCCGCTCAGCTCCTTGCCTTGCTCGCTATACTTGTAGTGGAATGGTTGGCTGACCTTGGCCATTCCTTGGCC